ATTTACCTTTTCTAGAATACAATTAGCCTTAGTTATTATTTCTAATCAATGTCAAATATCTGAGAAGATCCTAAGTTCTTTAGAATTCCAGTTGCAGGCTTCCACAACAAATAGTTAGTATTGCAGATACTTTCTTTAGTTCCCTATCAAACATACTTCAGGGAGGAGACGAAATGTAAGTTTTCTTCCAGAGAACAGAAACAAATTAAATACTTCCCTCAGTGCTAACTTAATCCATTCTGATAAAGCATAATTCAGTCACGCTCTTTACCAAGGTCTTAAAGTCTTTATGTAAGTACAAGTTTAACACAGAGCAAGGTAAGAATGAGAGTCCTCTATGATGAAAGTACTTTGATCTCAGATACTTTGCAAGATAAATAGCATTTCCCCAGCAGAGTCATTAGGGAAATGCCTGTGATCAGCAGCATCATGGGAGGTGATATCTTTGTTCACAAAGGGACTCAAGCTTACACAGAGGAATGAGAAATGGGGCCAAAATTCAACTGGCCTCCAAGGTTCATAGGGAGAGAAGACTCTTAGTTTTTTGTTTTGTTTTGGCTTTTTAGTGCAGAGGGAGGTGTATTTCTGGATAAAAGCAAGATTCCAGATGTCTATCCTAGTTCTTTAAATCCAGGGGAAATGGATATGCTGTAATCTATGTGGTCTGGCTCTGCAAAATAGTAGTGGACCCTTCTAAGGCACTGGTAGGTACCTGTTGTAATGCTATACTCTTTGCTTTCCCCTGGTTTTAGCTCATCTTTTGCAAGATGGAATTGGGATATAATTTACTAATGTCCTAAAGCAACTATCATCTCACTGGCAAAATCAAGCTCTTACTTTTTACCCGAATTGATCCAGTTGGCACAAATCAGTTCTTATTGTGAACTAGAAGTTTTGTCTTTTTATTTTTAAAATCTTATTTTTATTTTATGTTTATGAGTGTTTTGCTTGTATGTAAGTGCACCATATGGTTGCAGTGCCCATAGAGACCAGAAGAGGGCATTGGGTTCCCTGGAACTGAAGTTAGAAAGGGTTGTAGGGCACCATGTTTGTATTGAGAACAAAACCCAGGTCCTCGACAGGAGCAGCCAGTGCTCTTAACCACTGAGCCATCTCTCCAGTGATATCAGATGGATCTTGACTGAACTGAGTAATTGTTCATGAACCCCCAAGTTAGTACAGAGAATAGATCCCATGCAGATGACACTTGAGTTCACCTCATATCCTCTTCTGTTTTGTTTTCTCTGTGGAGTTAGTGAAAGCAACAAAATCTGAAATTCACAAAGTATTTGTATTTTAACTTTGAACTGTCTTAACTTTCTTTTTTCTTGTGTTACGTGTGCTTCTTGGAGGAGTGGAATCCTTCATAGTTAAAAAAAAAATAACAAAAACAATCATGTTTGGAAGTAATGTTAAAAGTCATCACTCCAAGTCAGGCATGATGGTGCACATCTAGAATCCCAGCACATGGGAGGCTGAGGTAGGAAGACAAAGCGTTCAAGGCTAGTTTTGGGTATACTGGGGACCCTGTCTCACAAAAGGAAAATGACAATGACAAACAATCTAAATCATACTTCAGTGAGTCGGTTTCCTTTTGTTGTCTTTAATAGCTGTTCTCTCCGGTGTGGACTATTTCCAATAAAAGGAAACAGATGTCTTCCCAGAAGTGCCCATCATCTACCTAATGGCAACACTGACTGTGCTAGGCAAAACCAAGTGGGGAATGAGGCAGTTCAGGAGAAGGAGAAAGAGATGATGAGGGAGAGCAAATGGAAGGGGAGGGAAGAAAGCATGTGAGAGGAAAGGAGGGGTGAAGCACTATCACCTATTGAGCAGTTTCCTCTTGGCTCAGCCCTACACCAGCATGATTTGCAGATCTATTGTTTAATTTGTTGGGCTTGTGGTTCTAGAGTCAAGAAGTGTATATGGGTATTTACTGCAGGAGCACTTTAGTAGAGTCTATATTTTTGACTTTCTTGATGGTTCCCATTAAAAACTTTCTTTTCTGCTGAGGAGGTAGGGGAAGACACGGAAGCTGCATGCTAGAGTGGGAAAGTCAGGGTCCTTCACCTCTTTTGCCATTGGAAGCCTTATCTGCACAGACATGAAGGCAGTAGAGTTGCTCTTTCCTTAAAGTTATCAAGCTTGCTGTCAATGAAATATGTTTCTGGTTAAGCAAAGGATTTGAAACCAGCTCATTTAGAGCCTGTATTCTTGATCAGGCTTCACCTGGCTCTGTTCTCTTCAGGACGTTCTTCACTGTATCCACGGACTGAAGCACTATGATGCTTCATCAGCATCTGGTGAAGAGAAAAGGGTAAGTCTTTGCATGCCCTCTCGCACAGAGTTCTCATAAATTATTTTTCCGTTGCTTTGTTATTTTTTTATTAGTTTTTTGGAGTCCTCATAAATTTTAAGGTGATAGATTTCTCAGATTTTTTAAAGATTATAAAGAAAGAACACAAAAGGTACATAAAACCAAATCCAGGAGACAATGTAGAAAGTTGCAAGTATGTGTGAGTGCTTGAGTATATGTATATATACTGCATATGTGACTGGTACCTGTGGAGACCAGAAGAGGGTGTAAGAAGGCATAGAGCCCTTGGAACTGGAGTTACATGTGGTTGTGCTACCCAGTATGGGTGCTAGGAACAAAATCTGGGTCCTCTACAATAGCAACAAGCGCCATCTCTCTAGCCCCAATATTTCTATGTTTTATGGGATTATACCCTTACCAACAAGGTAGGTCCCATTTATATGGAACTTTTCTTCATCTTAGGTATGTGAAATAATACAGACCAGCTTTTGTAGCTGAGCTCCAGGGCAGAGAGTGTTAGCAGCCTGAGAGCTGGAGCGAGCCTAAGTCTTATCATAAGGTCTCTGTGCCTCCAGGCTGAGTGTGACTTCACCTGTAACATTTTCATCATATAGATGAGTTGTGGCAATGATTATGTGGGGCCTATATTCTCTGCACCTAAAGGAGTTCCTGGGACAGTCATATCATCATCTTTAGTTGCAGCTCCAACAGCAGCATCATTCAGGAGGCTTGCTGTGCTGTGCCATAACTGTACTCCTTTAGTTCTATAAGACCTTTGGAAACTTGAAATCAGTGCTCCACAGGACGGACTCTAGGATGCTAGACCAGTTTTAAAATGAGATTAGAGGCAGAGGCAGGCAGATCTCTGTGAGATAGAGGCCTGTCTGGTCTCCATAGTGAGTTCCAGATCAGTTGTGGCTACAGTTTTTGTCTCAAAAAGACCAAAAGCTAACTAACTAACTAACTAACTAACTAACTAACTAACTAGAAATGGGATCAGTGAATTACCTATTTTTTATATGATTTTTATATATAGTAGGCACATTTTACATCTTTCTTCAGTCCTGTTTGGCAGTTTACAGATGAAAACCTAAGAAAAGCTAGACAACGTGTTCAAAGTTAACTCATAAAGCAGAATGCCTGGCTTTGTCTAAGGCTGCCCAGCTGCTCCAGGCAGGAGCCTCTTTGTTACTCCCATAGGGTGCTTTCTGTCCCTGCACACAGTTTTCCTCATCACTTTTGCTTCCCTCCCTCATACGGTCCCTCCATGATTGCCTTAAAGGGGTTCGGTTCAGGAACCCCTGCTGAGCCCTAATGGTGTTTGGGGGAGTGGATTTCTGTGTACCCTGAGTTCTGTGGTAGGTGGACGGCTTTTACTTGGGACTGAAGAGGAAAGCTGGGATTCTCTAAATCACTCAAAAGAGCCAAGACAATGCACCGGAACCAGTGGATGGATCCTCACTGAGGGGCATTTGGAGACACAAATTTGACTAGATAGGTCTTAATATATGTAACAGAGTACATGAAATCAGGCAGGGGGTACTAAGGAGGGGTGCAGATAAGGCAGGGGTCCAGATAAGAGTTTAATCTAAATATGATCAAAATACAATGTATGAAATTCACAAACATTCAATAATTTTTAAACAAAGAACCAAGACCATATGTATTACACACCGTGTTTGGTTTAACACCCGATTCTGAATTTTGTCCCCCCACTTATTGAAGTCTTATATAAAATCTTTTTAATGGATCTTACTTATTTTGTCTGTTTAAAATTCTGAGAAAAATCTCTTACGTCCCCGAATTCTGCCTTTAGGGCATCTGATTTCAGAATCAGAGACTCTCAAACCTCATAGTCATGTGACCTTCTTTTGCAGTGCCATAGAAACAAAATAGAAAGAAGAAATTTTTTTCCCCGAATTCTGCCTTTAGGGCATCTGATTTCAGAATCAGAGACTCTCAAACCTCATAGTCATGTGACCTTCTTTTGCAGTGCCATAGAAACAAAATAGAAAGAAGAAATTTTTTTCCCCGAATTCTGCCTTTAGGGCATCTGATTTCAGAATCAGAGACTCTCAAACCTCATAGTCATGTGACCTTCTTTTGCAGTGCCATAGAAACAAAATAGAAAGAAGAAAATTTTTTCCACTCAAACTCACTGAAAAGCAGAAAGGTTAGGAAAACAAAATTGATATGACAAGTATTATCTTCCCTAAAGATAAATACTGCTGCTGCTTGAAGTGGGAGGGGAGAGGGCTGTTCATCTTGGAGGTGCTCCTCCTTGTCCACTCTGTCCCACTTCCTTTTACATCCTCTCCTCCCTCTCTGTAATCCCCAGGGTCACCACATTTAGAAAGAGAATGTAGTAAGCGAGTCCCTCTCCGTCTTTACATTCTTCTTTCTCTTTTGTATGTTTAAGCTTTCCTCAAAGACTGACATTGCTCGCGATGAAGTGAAGACACCAAGTAGGGGAAGAAGCAAAGAACGAAGTCTTATTTCAAATCAGCTTCTTATTTCAAATCATTTTCTTTCCCATTTTATGCCTTGAAACAAAGAGATGATTTTTCTCCACTCAAAGAAACCTTCCAAAAGTCAGCGTAGAGAATAAAAATCGTTCTGCCCACTTTCCTGTATAAACTAGAACAGTCCATGTCGTGCACGTTTTATCATTGTGTGTTCCACCTCAGCAAAGCCCAAACTATGGTGATCCTGTCCAGGGAGAACCAAACAACAATAGTAGAATTTGTTCTTCAAGGATTTTCTTCTGTCCTACAGCTAAATATTTCCCTCTTTATAATGTTTTTCATTTTCTACATCCTAACTATTTCTGGAAACATCCTTATTGTCCTCCTAGTTTTGTTCAATCATACTCTCCATACCCCTATGTACTTCTTCCTGGTGAACTTGTCCTTTCTGGAGGTCTGCTACACCTCCAACATTGTCCCCAAGATGTTGCTGATCATCGTAACTGAACATAAAACTATCTCTGTGGTCGGCTGCCTGGTACAATTCTACTTCTTTGGATCCCTGGCTGCAACAGAGTGCGTCTTGCTCACTGTGATGTCCTATGACCGCTATCTGGCCATCTGCCAACCTCTCCGCTACCCCATCCTGATGACTGGTCCTCTCTGCATTAGGCTGGCTACTGGTTCTTGGCTCTGCTGCTTCCTCCTCACAGCAATCACCATGATCCTGCTGTGTAGACAAACCTTCTGTGGACCCAATGAAATTGATCACTTCTTTTGTGACTTCTCACCTCTTATCCATCTCTCCTGCATGGATACTTCTCTGACTGAGACCACTGCCCTTGCCACTTCTTCTGCAGTTACTCTGGTCCCATTTTTCCTCATTACAGTTTCCTACTCATGCATCCTTGCTGCCATCCTAAGAATACCATCTGGCACAGGCAGGAGAAAGGCTTTCTCCACCTGTTCTTCCCATCTCACTGTGGTCACAGTGTTTTACGGGACACTGATTGCCACGTATCTTGTCCCCTCGGCCAACTCTTCCCAGTGTTTACGCAAAGGGTTCTCTCTGCTCTACACTATCCTGACACCTATGTTCAACCCTGTCATCTACAGCCTGAGAAACAAAGATATCCATGGAGCTTTGAAGAAGTGCTTGAGTAAGAAGTCAGGTTTCTTCAGATGATATGAAAAAGAAAAGTGCTATGACACATACCTCCAAGGATGACTGTGGACACTGCTAGTTCTGACAGCTTCTGGTGAACTAATATTGCATGCTATGGTCTAAGTAGGTCAAACTTGGCTCCATCATCTTCAGGAGTTGAGGATTCTTGTGAAAGAGCTCATATTCAAGGTGAAACAAATAAGTATGGTTGTTGACTAATTCATTCAAATATTCTTGAAGGGTCTACTATGCCCAAGTCACTCTGCTAGGCATAAGTGATAAAATGATGGGAAAGCCACAGAAACAGTCTTTGTTCTCATCAAACTCACCATGGTAGCTAAAAGAAAAACAATTGAATAATTAAATGTAAACTACAAATATAAAATTATACTGGTGGTTCAAAATAGCAAGATGACCAGCACACACTTATTAGGATAGCTGAAATCTAGAAGACTAACACCATCAAGTGCTGGTGAGGATGTGGAGCAACCTTTCAATGCTGATAGAAATGCAAAATTTTTGGCCACTTTGGGGAAGTTAGCCTTTCGGTTTCTCACAAAACTAAACATAAAACTTCCAATATGATTGAGCAGTCATGACCTTTGTCATTTCCTCAAATTCACTGAAAGTTTTCTTTCTATAAAAGAACACTGTTCAAAGATGTTTATAACAGCATTATTCATAGTTGACAAAATTTGGAAGCAGCCAAGATGATTGGCTACAACCAGACAATGGAATATTATTTGGTGCTAAAAAAGGAACTGAGTTGCTGAGCTATTAAAAGACAGGAATCTTAAATAAATTTTGCTAAATGAAAGTAACCATACTGAAAAAGCTACATACTCTATATTTCTAACTATATGACATTTATGACAGCACAGAACCATGGAGAGAGCAGAAGGAGCAGCAGTTGCCAGGTGTTAGGAGGGAGGGAAGGATGAATAAGAATACGGAGCAATTTCAGGGAGTAATATCAGTAACTATGTGTGATACTATAAAGTGGACATGTATCCTCATTGCATTTGTTCAAACCCACAGAAAGTATAACATTTACAGTGAACCCCAATTGGATGGATATTGGGTGATGATGATGTGTCACTGGTATAACAACTGTATAAAAACAACTGAGATTTGGGTATTGGGAAGCCTGTGGGAGGGAGAACAGAGGCCACGTTGGAATTTGATAAACTTTCCATTTTGCTATGAATTTGAAACCGCCCAAAAATAAATCTATGTAAGATATGAATTTCACATCAAGAATGTGGTGCTTTAGTCCCTTTCTCTGGATTACATTTGGTCTATGGAAAATATTTTGTAATGCTTTGTACTCTAGGATTTAAAAGTGGGAAAAATGGAGATTTGGGAGCACGAAGCCAAAAAAGGAACCATGTCAGTGTCTCCAGCATGCCATCTCCTCTGTTATCAGAGCACCAAGCCCAGTCAAGAGTTAAGACATCATATTCATTTAGTGCTACCGCCTGTTGCCTGCTTACATTCTCTTCCCTTCTTGCTGGTATATGCTCTCAGTGGTTAAAAAACAGGGTGTGGTGGGTGTGTTTCTCCTTAGTTCAAAAGAACTGAGTTGACTTCAGAGTAGAAAAGCTGATGGCAGCATTAGTCTCTCAGATGTTGCCCATCTCCTTGTCTGCTTCCTGAAAACTGTAGTCCCTCTAGTTCTGAGAACAGGAACACCTTGTCTAAACTTTTCTTTTTCCTGCCAGGCAAACAAAGAGATTATGTTCACTCTTCGTGGGGCTTACTCAAGACCCTAGCTGGGCAACATAGGCATGCAATGCTTAATGCATCAAAATACGTGTAGGCTTTGCTTTATGCAGACAGAATTACTTTCTTACTATACTTACAGTTAGGAGAACATTATTGATATTATAACACACTCTAAGTGAAAACACAGTTGTCAGCCTTCCATTGTCTGTAGCTGGTCCAAGTGTAGCAAGTTGTCAAGATTCTATTAATTTTGGGAAAAATGAGATGGCTGGATAACAGAGCAGATTTTTTGTACTACAGGCAAGTTTTGGATTCAAGCTTTGCCACATTCTATCACTGTTGGCCTTGGGAGGTTACTAAAATCATTAACCTTAGCCTCTCTTTTCCAGTGAATAAAGAAACAGCATGTCTGTCCTTCACTGCTGCTGACCAAGAACATGTCCAGAGTGCTAGTTGGCTCACTAAAGAGTTCAGTGAATGAAAAGCTCTGGTAATTCTCCCAGGTTGTAGCTTTTACATAAAACCCCAAGCAAAACTATCATTCCATAGGTATTCATTTTTTATCTTCTGAAGTGATAAATGTTCAGAATTATTAATGTCCAGGAAGAATGTATAGTTCGTCTACTCTATATTTTTTACAGATAAGAAAGTATCCTCCCTGGAGGATCAGGTAGGCTGTTCTCTTTCTCTTTTATTGTCATCATTTCAAATAATTAAAAAATACATTTATTCACTAGCTTCCTCACATGTGTTAGCCAGTATACACACAGGTATAGATATCATCAGTATACAAGGGAAGAAATGAAATGACCCCCCAGAATGAGGGCTGCACCCTCAAGCGTGCTACTTCATCCTCCCCAATTACTGTGGAAACAAATAGCAGGACTGTTAACTGATCATTTTCCATCACGGGACTTATAAACAAGCCCTAGAGAGTTTGATCTAAACTAAGTCACAGACAGCCCAATAAACTGAAATGTTCTTTGTAAGAAGGCAGATGTGGGGAGATGTTCTACAATAGGTTGTTGAGTACATTAAGGATAACAGGCCTCAGGTCTCTTACAGCTACTGAAGGAAGTTATAGATATGCCAAGGGAGAAACACTAAAGTGGTTCTCATGGGATTAGAGCTGCGATTTAAGTGTGAACTCATGATTTCTAATATGCATATAAAGAGTTAATGTGTGTACTACACACTAACAGTGATTACATGCCTGTGTGCAGATCTTGCCTTTTGAAAGACAACCTGGATTCTTTAGAAAAATGGCTGATTGTTGAACTAGAGCGGGGAATGCCTAATTCTGGTATATCTTTTGTCAGAGAGTAAGAAACTGCTCAAATAATGGGAATCACAGGACAGAGAAGCCTCCTGGGCTGGTTTTGTACTAGAAAAATGTACAATTTTAATCATTGAAGTAATAAGAATAATGTTTATCCCATTGAATAAAACAGTAAATAAATTCAAACTTTGGATAGAAATGAGGAGGTACTTTTAAATTACCTTCTCACTGGGCATGGTAGCATACACCTTTAGTCTCAGCACTTGGGTGGCAGAGGCAGATGGAGCAGAACTACATTGTGAAGTGTACCAGTTTTCATCATCCATACATCAGTTGAGGGACACTTAGGTTGCTTCCATTTCTTAGCTACTGTGAAAAGAGCAGCAACAAACATGGCTGTACAAGTGTCTCTGCAGTAGGATGAGACCTTTGGATATATGCTAAGGAGTGGTATAACATGATCATATGTTAGATTTATTTTTAATTTTTTAAGAGTTCACACTGGTTTCCTCAGAAGTTGCTCCAGTTTGCAAATCCCACCAGCAAGCAGTGAACGAGAGTTATCCTTTCCCAGCATCCTCAACAGCATTCGATACATTTGTTCTCTTGACTTTAGACTTTTTGAATGGGGTAAAGTGAGATCTTAAAGTAGTTTTGATTTGCATTTCTCTAATTACTAAGGATGCTGAACACTTTTTAAGGTGTTTCTTGGCTATTTAATTTCTTCCCCCGGCATGAGCTCCCTCTGTGTGAGGCTTCTCCACCTGTGCTGGGCAGGGGTCTCTTCCCCACTGCCTGAACGCTAGCACTCAAGCAGAAACTGGCCTACTCTAGAATGTCTATTTTGGCCATTTTCTTCAATGATTTTAGGAATAAGTTCTTGAGGTAAGAGGCCTTTTTCTATTGTCTTTTCTTTTGGATATTATTTAAAAAATAATTTGAATAAGCTTACAGGTAAAATTAGCTTTATTCACGTATAATTTGAATTTTTACTTTTTTGTTTTTATTTAGTTGTTTTCTTGCATTTTAATTGAATTTCTGCAATTTTCACATAATAAAGAACTTATGGCCATTGATGGCTGCTGGGAGGGGGAAAGACAGTGTCTTACAGGATTGGGACTTTTGGTGGGTCCAGTGGATGGATCCACACTGAAGGACATTGGGGAACAGAAATCACACTTTATAGGCTATATATGTATATGCATATATGAGTGTTCATTAAATTGGGTGGGAGGCAGATGGAGAAGGTATGGATTGAAATACCAAACCAATCAATAATTTGAATTTTAACACATGAATAGATTTGTGTGCACAGTTTCTCATTTACCCTAAAACAGTCCAATCACCTTAGAAATACTGGACTTGATCTCTTTGGTCATACTGTGCTCCTAGCCTTTCAACTCAGGAAACCACTGTCTAGCTTGTCTCTATAATTTGGTCTCTTCCAGAATATATAATGCAAATGGAATCATGTTCAACCCTTTAAACATATTTATTGAGATAATTCACATACCACGGTTCATCCATTCTAAGTATATAACTGAGTGTGCCCAGTGCAGCAGCACCACAGGGAATGTTCAAGTATTTTTATCATTCCAGTTGGAAACCTTAGACTTGACCTTGTCAGCTATCATGTCTCCTTGCCCTCTGCCCCATCCAGCCAAACTACCACTAGTTTTTGGCTGCATAGATTTTATTTTACAAAAAATATTGTATTGAAGTTTTTTTTGTATTTCATGTAAAAGATCTTAATCAAGTTAGGTTCCTTCCCCCATCTGTACCCTGCATACCTCCCCCCACAGGGTTTCATGTATTCAATCATATATGTTAAGTCCTACCTGGTCACGAATTTGTACCCAGATGTCCCTCGGTGCAAGTTCATCCACTGGCATCTAGTCAACCTATCTAAAGTTACTCCCTTAAATATCTATCCTCCCTCACCCTAAAGTAATCAGTTACCAATAGTTCCTAGGCTAGGGTTGGGGCCTGCTGCCCATTTCCCCTGTTCTATGCTGGGTTTCATGTGATTGAGTCACATGGCACCATATACCTTGTGGTCT